GCGTGTATATCCCTTTAAATATCAAACTATTTACAGTTTTATTTATCTAAGATTGAATAAGCGGGAGTTTTAAAATCGGGAGTTGCATTTTTTTTAAAAAAAGTTTAAAGAATACAGAGGATTACAGAGGATTACAGAGGATTTCAAAGGAGACTGAAACAAATATTTTTACTTTGGTGTTTCGTAAATCATTGCGCCAACATTATTTTTTTTTTTACATTATCAATATTTTAAAAAAATTATAATCCGACAACTCCTTAAAAAAGTAAATCAAACCTTCCTTAAGTCTGTAATGTCAGGTTGACAACAAGTAAGCATGAGTACACATGTCATAATGATTAACAAAGTGCTTAAAATCATAAACCCATTGGGCATTATTAAATTTCTAATAAGGGTAATGATCAACAAGATATCCAGACGGGGAATAAGTAAAATGTAAGTTGCGCGAAAGAAAAATAGACATCAAAACAAAGCATAAGAAGTATTAAGAAGTAGGAAAAAGTAAGAAAAAGTAGGAAAAAGTAGGAAAAAGTAAGGAAAAGAAGAAATACTACAATAGAAGACTTTATAATATTATTAAATACATATATTTAATAATTAACGATAAAACATGAAGTAATCGAATGAAATTATTTTTTATGTCATAAAAGAACATCAATTGACCTAATTATGTCACTTTTGATGATAACTTACGTCTAATGATTGTCAACAAAACACAAACGCGGTAAATTCTGAAAGGAAAAATAATTACACAACACTTGTCGGCAGGGTTTGTTCCATACATGCATGATCATCATGAATATAATATATTACATATTGTTTGATTTTTTTTGTAAAATAAAGTGTTTATTAATAATTATTGACAAAATGTGTATTTATCCAAAATAGGGTTAGCAATAGAGCGTATGTATTTAATATTTAACTGAACAGGAATAAAGTTAAAATGAAAGTAATGAAACTTCAAATATGAAATTAAGAACATTACTCAAACTGTCAAATTAGGAATATTATTTTTGTAATAAATTCGGAGAGAATATTTATTTATCTATAAATATGGCAAAATATTTTTTTATTTATAATGTAATGACTCATTTAACCATAAATATATATGCATGCTCGCTATATTATCTGTATTAACGGTTCTTCCGCGCGTATTATATTTCTGTTCACCAAAGTGATTATTGGTACTTGTAATGTCATCACCTGTTTACTAACTAGTAAGATCTTTCTCACGTAAAAAAGAAAAAAATTAGTTAATATCTTGTTTCATTGTTGCATTGCATTTCAAGAAAATATTTTTTTTTTGTTAAACATGAATTGCGATTAAATTATATATATTTTATGTCTATTACCTAATTCTATTAATCCTAGAATAGCATGTATCACCTATTTATAACGCAATTCCTAATTTCTATATTCAAGTACAATCATTATAATTTCTCTTAGAACAATGATAAGAAATGTTTCACAAAAACTTAAACTTTTTGAGACATTTTGTTTGCCAACATAAATGACTAAATGATAACCCAAAATGATGTTGCTGGTCCAAACACTTGGATCTCTACGTCATACTGGTGGTGATCACGCAAATTTTCACATAAATTCATGGTATAAATAAGATATATGCACTATTTTGAGATGGCTTACACGTGAATCATGTGGATTAGTTAGATTCTTAAAAAGACCATATTTAAAAGAACGCAAGAAAGTAACACAATTTACACAATTTACACAAATTGGGCAACATAAAAAAAAAAATTTAACCATTTATTTTTTGAACTCCTATTTAATCGGTTTATGAAATACAAAGTAAAGAATTCAAGTTTGTTTTCGCATTGTTCAAAAGTTGTAACAAAAAGAGAATAATATGTAACATGAAAAAGAAACCATATAAATTATTTAAGCCAGTCGGTTTGTCAAATGAAAATTTAATATCTTAATACTTTAGATTTATCCGCTCATACTAAATAGATAAAATTAATTACCTAACCTTACTCATGCTAGGCGTTGAACTAAATAGTCAAGGCGCAAGGTAAGACAGCTTTATCTTTACACATAAGAAACATGTTCCTATAAGTTTTATGTTTCCATAAGAATTAAAGAATATTCTGTTTACACTATCTTATATGTGTTCATATTATTCTAAATTATTCTAAATTATTCTTAATTATTTTAAATTATATATTTTACTTTTAACGTTAAATTAAATTAATTATATTCATATATATATCATCATTGAGAACTCGAATATGCATGATCGAATACGTATATACGGATAAACTTTTTATCGGTCAATCAAAACGCCACATCACACATCATTTAGGACTGGTAGTAGCTCGGAAGACGGAAAGCATGTGAGAAGGCATATTTGGATTACATACGTACCTGATACTGATACGTACGTACGTACGTTATGAATCGGACAAAGTGAACCGGAAACCAAATGTTAGTTACCCAAAAGTTGGATAGCAAATAAGGTTAAACCCAAATATATATATATTTAACACGTTTGTTCATCACACAAATCTTCACAAATCTTCATTTGTTATGCAACTAATATTTTGGTACAGCACATACATATATGCGTATCTTTGTACAAATAAGTCAATCAGTCTGAAATAATAAATTATTTATTACATAATCAATCTTAAAACTTTAAATTTTTTTTAACTGTATATCATATATAATTATTTTTATTTTATTTTCTGGTTCATTTTTTAACATTTTAATGTTTGTAAATTGTGTGACGTTTGTTCTCTCTCCTTACATTTTTATTTTTATTCATGTCAGTGTATATCGATATTATTCATGTTAGTGTATATCGATATTATTCATAGTGTATATCGATATTATTCATACTAGTATATATTGATATTAAATATAAATATATCAAATATAGTTGTTAGATCACAATGTGATAAAGTTGATACATATGATTCTAGCATATAATATTTGGGTACGGAAAAAAGGAAAAATAATTATAAGCCCCTTGTAAATTAGGATTATAAACAAAAAAAACTTTATTAAATGCATGCTTAATAACGATAAATGCGAACTTTATAAATTCATAAATACTGGTCCATTTTATAAGTGCTTTATATGTTTTGCTATCTATAAATGCGCATACTCTTATGGTCTAGAAGGACTACATCTTAGTCTGTCTTAGTATTAACATAATTTTTTTTTTAGATATTAACATTAAAATATAATTTGTAAAAATATTTTTTTAGATATTAAAATATAATTAGTAAAAATATTTTTTTAGAAAATATATATATATTTTTTTTTTAAAAAAAAAGTTGATATAAAAAATATATATCATTTAAAACCTAAACTTTTTTAAACTACATGACTGAACATGAAATTTCACGATACCTTAGTACGTACATAAGTAATACGATGGCTTGTTTATTAATATAAAAAAATAGAGCTACAATAATAAAACTATATATTTAAAAAGATGTAGTTTATATGGTATAATGAGATATTATCAAATCTCACGATATCTCACGATATATCACGATCTATCACGACCTATCACGATCTATCACGACCTATTACGACCTATCACGACTATCACGACCTATCACGATCTGGAACCATTGGTTCACTTATTTAAAAATAAAGTTAATAAAGTTGTCAATAGTAACGATTTAAATTTCATGCATCTAAAAGAATGAGTGCATATACTGCTAAAAAGTTATCTTGATCAAACAAAAAATGTAGTGAGAATGTCTACGTTAACTTTATACGTGTATGCTTAGCATTCAATGATTCAAGATGTTAAATCATTAACTTTTCGTTAGTACTGTATATAAAAGTTACTCTAAATTTGATATGCACTTCACTTTAATCAAATAAATCAAATGGTAAAAGTTTTTTTACATCCACAAGTAATCTTGTCATCTTTTTGTGAAAACTTTATGTTACCTACAATGAACCAAGTAATGCATGCACAATTCCATAAATAAATAAATATATATATATATGCATACACTATATAAAGTATATAAAGTATTTATCTATCTATTTATTTTATCACTGTACTGTATATTCGGTGGAAAACTCGATTTAATTTAATTAATAACAAAAAAAAAAGACTTCGTGACCTTTATTTATAATATTATAACTATGATATTTTTCATGCCGGCAATTATTACAACGATCGTAATGTATAGATAATAATATAATACTAATAATAATAATAAAGGGAACAAAGTACTTTGTTTCATCAATAAGAAAATTATTCAGAGAAAAAAATTTGATTTGATTTTGATTGGAACACATTAAAAAAAAAAAAAAAGAGTGTTCAAAGTCCCTTCGAAGAGATTGCTTAAACTTAAAAGGTTTAAAATTCGTATGATGTTTTTTTTTCTTTTTACAGGAATGTTATGTACATAAGGTTTTCCTATACTTTAACGAAAAGATAGAAAAGAGGTATAATAAAAGGTATAATAAAGGTATAATTATATATATATAAATAAATCCTATTGCAAAAATACAGACTTTTCTAATAGTAGTTGTTTTTTTTTTTTTGAACAAAAAATTATTACCAACCCAAGAAATTTTGGCAAAAAAAAAAAATAATAATAATAGTATAAATAATAATATATTTGATATCAATAAAAAATCAATTCCTCTAAAGAAAGAAAGAAAGAAATGAATTTTTATACTTTTTAAAGAAAGGATTGATAGAGTTTGGTTTTTTTTTTTTTTTTGTGGTTTCGTTTTTTTTTTGGTTTTTTTTTGGAAAATGTCCGTAGTAAATTGCAAAGGATTATCGTATTAAGAAATCGCGTCCCTACCTTCACAATTGTAGTCCTGATCAGACCCCCTCACCCTAAATAACACTTATATAGACTAAATAACACTTATATAGACTAAATAACGCTTATATAGACATTACACTATGTATAAAAAAAAAAGGTAGGTATTAAAAGGAAATGACGGATGTCTAAAACAATGTCGATGTGTGTATTGTGTATTGTGTGTGTGAATTATTAAGAATCGATGTTTGATGTAGATGGAATCATTGCGCCAAAATCAAACTGGTTAACGTTAAACGGTTGTAAATAATCAAATGATTCACCAAGATGTGATTGATATCCGTAATCAAAGAATCCGAACGAAGCTGCATCCGATTCTGAATCTGGAGAAACTCCATCCATCATAAGATTAAAAGAATTCGTGGATTCTATACGTACATATTCGTTCGGTGATGATGGTGAACATGAATTTACCGAATATTGGATCTGATTAGGTTCTTCTACCATATTAGATACATTATCATAAATTGGCATTTGATCATAATTAAATTCTTCATAATCAATATCATTTATATCTTGAGCTGATAATATTGAATTTCGTCGAGATTCATCTTCATAATAATCAAATCCTGTTTCAACTGTATTTATATTATCAGTTGAACTATTTTGATCGATTGTTTGACTTAATTGATGTTGAAATAATAATTCATTATTTGAATCTTCATTTGTTGTTAAATGATTAGGTATATTTAAATTTTCATTCTCATTTTTATTATTATTATTTGTCGTCGTTCCATTATTATTACTAGTATTAACATTTGACCTTTTTGTACGACGACGTTTTTCATGAGGTCTTCTAGGTCGATATTTATATTCTGGATACTTTTGCATATGTTCCAATTTTGCCGCATCGGCTTGTCGTTGAAACTTCATTTTCTCTTCAAGGGGTTCTTTGTGCCACATTTCCCCAACTTGCTTTGATACTTCATTATTTGATATTCCCTCATTTGCTGCAACTATAGCTTGTTGTTTAGAACGTCTATAAAGTATAAATGCGTTAGGTGGTCTTGGAGGCTTCTTAGGCTTTGTTGCTTTAGTAACCGCTCCGCCCCGCGGAGTCGGCGCTGTTGCACGAGCCAACACTAAATGAGGAAACCGAACATCGGGCGGTGTAGAATTTATATTGCAATTTATGGGCGAAACTAGTTGTGTCAAGGTTTTATTAACAACAACTACTCCCGGCACTGCCGAATTCTGGTTGGCTTGTTGAATTTTTAATTGTTGTTTCTGTAGAGAACGTTGTTGTAAGCCTTTATTATTTTGTAAATTATTTTGTAAAAGGGTTGCCACTGGTTGTAGTTGCGAATCGCGTGGAATTAAAATTGGTTCATATCCATCAGGAATGAAGTATTGAGATCCCTTTTGTTGTTCGAATAAACTGCGAAGTTCTTCTTGATTAATATATCGAAGTGTTGATGCTTTGGATGTAGTTTCGGAACTTTTTGTTGGTGAGATCGTGGTTGCTGTCGCAGTCCTTGAGGATGACATCCGTTGTACATTTGCATACGGAAGATTCGATAATTTTTTATCGCCGTTCATTTTACAAGTTTTTTTATTAATATACATTTTTTAAAGGGAATTTCTTTTAAAAAATTAAAAGTAATAAGCTGTTGTAGGGGAAAGGTGGCCGCATAAAGTGGTTAGACAAATAAATTATGGCACAAGGAAGAGAAGAAAAGTATAGAGTTATGGTTGTCTCGAGACGAAGAACCAAAAAAGAATTGAAATTAATGGTTGTTTATATATATAATTTTATATAATAGTAAAAAAAAAATATATATATATATGTATATATCAAAAATTATATCAATGTTAATATCAAAGTAAAAGTTGGCTTTAAGGGGTCCATAAACATACTAGTCCATTGACCTTCTTTTTTTTTGATAGTGTTTATATCTTTCTACGAAAGGGAAAATGTAAACGGATTTGGGTATTTTTATATTAAACTGAAAGAGACAGTTTATTATACATCTATTATAAAAAAAAAATTACAGTTAAAAGTTTTTTTTTTTTTTAAATTGTTATTAAAAAAAAATTTTTTTTTATATTGTTTATAATATGCATAATTGTTTTCGGCTCGGTTGATCACTGTGATGTTAGCTTTTATCTCTATAAAAATAACATAATCTATTGCTATGTATCGGTATGTTTCATAAGTTTTATAGGCATGGGTATGCAATAAGAACTTAAATGTTAGAAGACCGCGCTAATTATAAATTTATATTTATAGATAATATCTCATACATACAATTATCTTAATATCTTAAAGTCACATCAAATATATTACTTATTTCTGTTTTTATGGTTATGCTTAATTTTTTTGATAATGACACATGTGAGTCTTTCGTTGTGCTCTTTGTATGCATTGGTAATCAAGTTAATCTTTTAGCTTTGTTTGTCGGGTAAGCAAATGAGAATTGTCTTTAAATAAAAGAGAATTTTATATATCAGCATCAATGTATTTAGCACTCGCAATGGTTTGGTAATTTAGAACATAATTTATTTTTTATATTTTATTTTTTATATTTTATTTTTAAGAATCGTAACAAAGTTACTACTATATAAAGGGCATAAGTGATAATTAGGTTATATAAGTAACGGTTTTTAAAAGTTTTTTAAGAACCCTGAATCACATGTTACACTTTGTCGAACACAGACAGGTATTGATATGTACTTAACCTACCTGTAATAAAATATTTCTTATACCTATTGCTACATTACGGTAGAAAAATTAGTTCTTAACACTAAACGTTAAGGTTAATTCAAATTTAAGCTATATATATATATATACTAGAATTCGATTTTTTAATTTGGTTCACCCGTGAAATATGTTACATACATATATACAAAATAAACCCAACTAATACACATGGTTTCATTATTTCTATTATAGGTTACAAAAAATCCGATCAGTAAATATTTTCCTGTCAACAATGTTTTATTATAATCGTTACGTAAATATTTCATTAATGCGTAATTATTGTAATTATTTCGCTTGGTTATTTACTTTTTTATATCATTTGATACTAACGCTTAACGCTAAACAAGGTTACTTTTTTTTGTTACCTGGTTAATGAATTTATTTTTTTTAGATTGCAGATCATAACATAAAACAATTACCAGGTTTATTAATTGTCGAAATGTTTATTAATTTAAAAAATTTTCTTTTGATATTGCTTGTATTTAATACAAAAGACTAATTTACAAATGCGCAATACTGAAGATTCACTTGCTAATTTTTACTATTTGAAAATGTGTTAATTCTGCCATGCCATCCAAAAATTAAATTTGCCTTTTTTTTTTATTAATTGTAAGAAAAAAAACAATTCCCAAATCTTAAAAATTATGTTTCCAATTGATATACAATGTTATTTATATACTTTTTTTCACAATACAGTAGTGTTTTGTTCTTTTATATATTTAATTTATGACCTATATCGATTTTGTTGCGTCCTTCCTCGAACACTGTTACCCAAAACATTATTAAAATTATTTCGAGATCGTTGTTGTTGTCCATCTCTCTTTTGATAGGTCGTTCGTTTTTCGATATTTTGTTGTTGACTGATCTGTCCTGTTGACGTTTCAAAAATAATTAAAAAATAATTAAAATAGTTACAAAGTGTCAAATTATATGACTAAATGAATTGGTTATTAAGAATTTCTACTAACCTTTTTGCCTTTGTTGGTCTCTTTGATTTTGTCCGGTCGTTTGTTTCAATTCCAACGTTTTTTCATTTGCTTCTACAAATGATGCTGCCTTTTCAGCAAACATTAAAGCCAACTGCTGAACCTTTGTCGGCTCAACACGGTGTAATACGACAACATTATTGACTTGATCTAATGATGCGACTAATTCTTCATTCCAAATCATTTTTGAAATTATGGCAGTTACCGCATTCGTAGGCAAAGAAAACATGGTAGCTAATTGCTCAAGTCCTAACGTTTCATAATAAGATGAATATGCAAATAAATATGTACGAAGACCTTCTTCTTGAATTTTTCTATTCAACATTTCTTTTATCTTTTGCGTTTTTGGCATTAAGTCCCAAATTTTTATGGCACTTATAAGTTCTTGACATCTTTTCCATTCACCTGCAGCAAGTGCTTTGGCTGCTCCCATAATGTGATCTCGTGTATTTTCCGGGGGTCCTTTTTAAATTAATTTCCTATATAAGTATTGATATTATAAAATAATAATAAATTCATAAACAAAAAAAGCTTACCGCTGAAGACTTGTCTTTCATTGTAATCTAACATTCTTCTGAAGGGTTTACTAATAATTTTTTTACGTGCTTCGGGATTTGATCCTGCGGCTGCCATGCTAGGTATCTCTAAAAGCATAGAGCATGTCAAATAAGCACATTCCAATAATTCTAAATTAATATGCATATGGAACGGTAATTGGCGTTGTCGATCTAGTTTTTCTTGCTCTAATGGGAGTTGAGAATATCTCTGTAATTGTAAACCCTATGTAAAAAAAGAAAAAATTCAATAAAAGTTTGTTACGATAAAAGTTTGTTATGTCCCCAAAAATATTCTGGATATAGATAAGGTTAATGTTTGATTATTTTTTTGTACAAATTTTGCTCCAAAGTGCGTATGTTTAGTCCAAAATTGATAAATTCACTATGTAAACTGCGTCTTTGAGCAACCTTACTTATTTTATAATATTTCGGGAACATTTAAACAACTTAATATTTACCTGAGCTAACAATTCTTTCGTACGACCTGTCCCACAAATTTCTTGTAAACAACTTTGGGCTTCTCTAATCATCCCTTCCCGGAAAGCACAAAGGCCAACTTGAACCATGGTGCGATTGTGCAAAATTTGAGTTCCTACATCACTTTGATGAATATTATCTTGCAAATGTGACATCAAGAGCATGTCTCGCGCAACATAAAAGCGATTGTGTAATGCGTGATGATAAATATGACAAAGCATAGCACGTGTACGTAGCAGAGATTCGCCTTTCTTGTAGAGGTAAACGCAAAGTGCGTGAATTAAATCTGAAGGATCACTACTAGACATGGGTGAGGTTATTTTTGATGTAAGACCTGCCGGGTATAACTGTTGAACTGTGTTTTCGACTGTTTGTATTACTTGATCAGGCTTTATAAAGTTATGTAAGTTCATTAATCAAAATTAAAGAAAAAATAGTTATAGGTAAAAGGTGATATTATATTACCTTATAATACAGGTGTTCCAACCTTCTCATAACTACTCTGCTTGTACTCTCATTTAATTCATTTTTTTCGAAATATATTTGACCCCTTACAATAGTATCATACAGGTCTGTTTCATCTTTCAATCTATCCACATAATCCGTAGTATGTGGATCGATATTTTGTAATGATTTTGTGAACTCATCGTCTAAACGATCAATTAAAGAAACAATTGAACCACGTATACCAAATATTTGACCAGGCTCAATCACTGGTTCTTTATCATCGAAATCCTCATCCATATATTCATAAATCATGAATTGTGGATTAGTTTCAAGAATTGTTAAAAGTTGGTTGATCTCTTTCTGTGTGCTATTTTAACATACAAAACGATATCGATTAATTTTGCAATGATTAAAAATTGAATAAATTGTAATCATTCGAAACACACCTTTTCCACATATCAACATTCATATAATTACTCATGCTGGGATTATAATCAAACTGAGCAGGTATTAAAGAAATTAATACACGAATTCGTTGATATGGTGTTGCAGCAACTTCCAAAAGTTTTTGAAGAATTTTGATTTGCTCCAAGCGGTCGGTATTCTTGATTATCGGATATGATTGGTTTTATGTCAACGATAATTATCATTAAACGAAAAAGGACCTTATAATTCACCTTTTTTCCTCTCGCTTCCATTATTTCTCTCAACTTTTTGAACAAGTTTTCAGATGTATATTCTATTGGTTTATTACTCTTTCCTCCTGATGGACCTACTGGAATAAACTTTCCCTCAGTTTCCGAAGTGTATGAGACGTCTGATTGTGAACCAATATCACCAGCATCCTTCGCGAGTTTTTTAGATTTGTTTTTCACAACTCCAGCATCTTCATCTTCAACATCTTCATCAATCTCTTCGACAGGATTCTATATGTTAAAATAAAATTAGTATAACCATAATTTATCAATATTAAACTATATAAGTTTCATCTCTACCTGTCGCCATTTTTCAATTTCATCTTCATATGCTCGATTATTCTTTTTGATCTTTTGTTTCATAGAATTTAGAGCTTTTGCTTGTGAAGCATTCATTTTTTTCTTTGACTCCTTTTCTTTTTGAAAAGCCTCATTTAAGAAGTCTTCAAGTGATGCGATTGTTTTGATATATAAAGGCGGAATTCTGAGAGGACTTTTGCTTATTATTTTATTTAATTTGTCAAATTCTTAAAAATAAATATGAATTAGTATTTGTTTCTCCGATATTTGCTCACCAAAAGATCAATTCGCAAATTTTAATCCAATAAATATACCATTTTGAATCACGACCCAGTCATTAATTTTTTGCGCATTCTCGATAGCTTTTGCACAATTTTCAACTGCATCCAACCATTTATCTTTACCAGTTCTGATAAGCCGTTGTTTCCCTTCATCTTCAGAATCATCATCTGAGGTGACATCTTTATGATATTTCGATTTTGGTTTTAATTCCTGTTCCTCTTCATACTCTGGTTCTTCACTAATATCATCCTCATTTTCTGTTGATTCACCCGACGATGAAATAATATCCTCCTCCTCTTCTGTATCACTGTCTGATCCACCTCTGAAAAACCTTGACCCAACAAATTCCTATAATTTAGCGTATATAAAATAGTAAGTTTGCTATCCTTACCAATCCTAATACATTGATTATAAAACTTACCGACTTGGACATTTTGTAGATCTAAAAAAACTAGTAGTTATTTTTAAAAAAAAATTTTATCGGATATATATATATATATATACGTACAAGCAATCTTGTGTGACGGTGTAACCCGGTTTTCTGGTGTTCCGCAGTAGTGTGTCCAACAAATTGTCTCGATTTTGATTGGCTAAAAAGCGACGATCAAAAATTTAGGTCAAAATTTTACTAATGAAATCACAGCCATTTCTCTATAAATTTCTATATTTGGAATGAATAAGTTAAACAGTTAATTCGGCCAAAATTTTGCAACCAATTATTTAATGCGGGCCAAATTTTTATAGATCTCGACCAGGTAAAATCACCACCCAAAAAAGTTTCAAACATTACGTGACAGCACTAAAAATTTATTAACAAATAAATACAACCAAAAATTTAAACTAACAAAATAATAACAATAAGCAATAAATTGAACATTTTATTTATTTCGAATAACTCAATAAATGTAATATTTATAAGACTAAAAAAGATTGGCTTTAGTTTATTACAAGCAAATTTTTTAATTATGTCTAAGTATTTTTAATTTTTAAGCTACTTGTTTTTTTTTTTTAAAAAAAATTTTCTTTTGGCTGGTTCTCTGCTATAGAGTTTAAACCTTCTCATGAACTAGAGTTTTTTGCTAAATTTTGATTTTGTAGTACGGTTTTTTTTTTTATGTATTAATGCTCTGTTTCTTTTTCTATAATATAATAATTTATATTTTTTTATTATTGTTCAGAAAGTTTTAATTTTTTTAAATTTTTTTTTGTATTAAGTTTTTTATTATACTAAACTTTGTTTTTAACTTTTTTTTTACTTGTAATTTACAAAGCAATTCTTTTAATTTACTTATATTTATTTAATTAAGATAAGTTAATTAATAATTTGTTAAAATTTTTTTAATATTTTTTTATTTTCTGTATACTGTTAAGTAATTTTAGCTTTTTTTTATTTATTTATTTTTTTTTCTCTTTTCTCCACTATCCTAAAGGTCCTTAGACACTTTTAAGATTTGTCACATTTCTTTAAAAACCAAAGTTATTATTTAGCAGAAATCATCAGATGATGTATAGTTCTTATATTTATCATTGTACTCACAGAGATAGCTCATGCTCTGTTAAGTCCATTATATAATGTTCTAGGTCTCTGGCTTTGCAGTATAGAGCTACTATCTTTTTATTTAGGTTGCAATTTCTTAACTTCACATGATTTACTAGTCAGATCATTCTTTATATTTAATATTTTTTAACTGAATTTCTTTAATATAAACATTATTTGTTGACAGATTTTCCTTTTCTGGTCATTTCTAACATTGTGATTATGTTATTAGACTGCATTTTTATATATAAATTTTGTTTTTTTCTCTAATAGAATTTTTTAATCATAATTTTGGTGAAGTTGTTATTATCCAGTGAGATTTGAACTTGCAATCTTGCAATTGTAATTCAGGAGTATTAACTACTACACTATTGATCTACAGGTCATTTTTTATTTTTTTTATATAGTATATAATTTTTTTTTTTTTTTTAAAGATTATATTTTATTTTTTATTTTTTTTGTTTCTTTAAGCAGTTATGCTAGTGTTTTAAGATTTTGAAATTACATTTGTAATTATATAAATATTCTTAACTACTAAATCTAGCATTATCTGACTATCCTAATAATACCTAAATGCAACCTGTTATATTACTTCAAGCAGAAGTAAGCTGCTCATCTGATTACTTAAAGTTCATAATAAAAGGGTCTTATCTCTTTTATAACAAGCTCTAAAATTGTTTTCTGTATTTCTTTTTCAATTTGTTTTTTTTTTTTTTGCTTTCTCTTTTCTTTCTTATATTACTTATGATTTGATTTCTCTTTCTTACTTGACGCTTTTCTCTCTTTTCTTTTTTTTCTTTTTATTTTATCTAATATTCCTTTATTTTTCTTTTATTCATTGATCTTCTCACATCAGATTCTTCATACTTGTTTGTAAAATGTATCCTAAGCCATTCTTGCTATTATATTCATAAATTGCTGTCTTAATTTTGTACTTAGAAGCTGTCTTAATCTGTCCTATGTTTTTTTTGAAACAAGACCTTTAATTAATATCTCTTATATTTTAATTTTCTCTGCTTCTGTTTTCTCAAAAAACACTATATATAATATATACAGGAAAATCTAAACTTTTTCTTCTTTTTATAGCCTATTCTAGACTATTGCAATAGTTACTTTTTAGTTTTTTTTTTAAGATTTCTTTGTTCCTTATATGCTGCCAAATGTGCCTATATTTCTTTTATTTTATTTTAGCATACTTGGCATTCTATTGTTGTGTATATATCAGGTCTTTTTTTGTTAAGTTTTTCTAGAGTTGAAGGCTTGTTCATTATGCACTTTATAAATGTGTTTCTTCTAACACTATTTCTTTTTGTTATGCAATGTACTCTTTTAGATATCTTCAGTCTTTTTCAAAAATATGTTTAATTATAAATTGTAACTTCTGTTTCTAGTTCTAATCTTTTAATTGCTTTTATTTCTTTTTATTCTGCTTCTAATTTTTATTCATTATTAATTTGCAAAGCAAACAGTCTTGCTAGTATGTTAGTATGTTTGTTTTCTTATTCTAAGCAGTACTCTATCTTTTTGCAACTGACTTCTTCAGGCTGTATTATTTTTTTACTTGTTGCATCTTTTTTTGTTAAACTATTAGTTTTATCATTCTATCTATTTTTACTATGGCCCTTAACTTTAACAAAATCTATCTGAATATTCTTTATCATAATAAGCTCTTTGATTTTTATTACTTATATTGCATTCTTCTTTTTTAGAATCTTATTTTTATCTACTTGTTCTAAACTTCTACTAATGTTTCTTATTGCAGTATTGCTATCTGTATATATTTCTATTTGTTTTTCTTTTAGCATTATTAAAATTACTGTCCATATCACTACTAACTTAGCCATTGTTGATGTTTGCCATCTTTCTAAATCTAATTTTACCTCTTCTTTTGATTATTCTTGTGTTTTATCTGTTTATACTCATTCTATGTCTATATTATTTCTACTTCTTGTATCTTCTTTCATCTTTAAGTTTGCTACTTCATTTTGTATATATTATATTATTTTTTGACTATGCTAACTTTTAAACTTTGTTGTCTAATTATCTCTACTTTTAGTTCTTTTATTACTTTTAGTCCTTCAAGTTTTTGTTTTCCAATTACTGATTTATTTGTCTTAATTGTTTCTGTTATTTAATCTATTGCTATTTTAATCTTGTTGCTGTCTTTTTTTATTAATGTATTTGAAATTACATTGATTCTGTTGTTTATTTTTATCTACTGCTGACAGCTATTTTTTTAATTTTTTTTTCTTTACATCTGTTAATTTTGATAGCCAATTTACTTTCTTTACTCTGCATTTGCCAATATTCTATTAATATTTTTTTCTTTTTTTTTCTAATTATTTTTCTTAACTGTTGATGATTCTGTGCACTATATGTTACTTATTTTTTTCTTTTTTTATCTTCTAAGATACACTCTCATCTTATTTGCATTTCTTGAGTATTTTGTCTGTTTGTTCTAAATTGGTTTTTAATTTTTCTGTTTTCTGGTTTACTAAGTACTTTTTGTTATATTGCTTTAAACTATTCTGCTTTTTTCTTTTTACTTGATAAATTTTAATAACTTTTTAGCTACTGCTATGTAATTAACCTCTCTTTTCTTGTGTCTAGCAGCTGATTTAAGTATATTAGTCTGTTTTATTTATTCTAGCATTATTTCTTTTCTGTAACTATATTCTTATGAGTTTTTTTTTTTTATTAAGATGATTTCTTTAGTCTTTTGACTTTTATTAATCACTTATTGATATTGTGGTTCAATAAACTACTACAGGAAAGAGTGCAATTGGCTACACATGTAATTTTTCTATATTATCTATTTAAGAAGTCTGCTTGAAGGTTCCCCACCAATTGCCATATCTAACATCTTTGCTTAAGTGTTCCACTTTAAACCTTCTGAATCTATAACTTGTGTTAACTTACTATGTTATACACAAATGCCCAGATCATCATTTCAACCTTAGAACTAATTTATCCTCAAGGTAAACCTCTCAGAGTCTTCTGTACTTATTTTTATAGCTAACCTAGACATCACTATAGCAGAACTAACACTTGCAGTTAGGGCTAACCATTAAATCACTATGGCCTTGTAGAGTTCACTTAGACTCTAGCATCTACTTCACAATATGATCCTAGTACTTTAGTATACTTCTGCCTTTTCTTTTGTCTTTTTACCAAACTCCCAATCCAGATAGCTCATATAGAACTATGACTAGTCTATCGGTATATTAGATCAGTCTGATATCCTTTTTCTTCAGTTCATTTCAGTGGCCTAATTAGTATTATCTCTAAGACTCCCAATCCAAAGGTTCTTGCCTGTTTGGCTACTATAGCTAGGTACTAGACCTTGGTATCTGTTTCATCAAGCTAGCTTTTACAGTAGAGCCATCAAAGATCCAGCTACCTCTCTACTCAGGTCTTCCCAAATAGACTTCTTGTTACCCAATTTTAATGGATTTACATGGCTACAAGGACTTATCTAGTATTTGTACTACCTGATTTGTTGGTTTGAATTTCTCTATATAACTCCAATATTGCACAGATGCCCCATAACCTGTCAGTCATATTGGTGTGACTACTATTACAGGTATCCTAAACTAATTATTAGTAATAGTTGCTATAATACAAATATTACTTAGGTGATTATCCAAATTTTTGCTGTCAATAGGATTTGAACACCCAACCTATCACTTGGGAGGTTGACAACCTGACCACTTCACTAGGTCACCACATTCCTCGCTTATGAGTTCTTATCTCTTCTATTTTCTATATATCTTTTGTTAAACTTGCTTTTTGGCAACTTTGTGTTATTCTTAATTTTGTTACTGTTTAAGACTGGCTTGTTTGTTTAGTTTTGTTAATAAACTACTTATTGGTTTCATTGTTAATTCTTGTTAAAA